TCAAGGAAGACAAAGAAACAGCTTTGCAAGTGGACATGTATAACACTTGCAACTTTAGGGATGTGGGGTGTGGGATAGGTAGTTAGTTGGCAGAATAGATAGATGAGAACTGAAAGAGATTGTGCTGACAAAGAATTTCTGCTGTGAGAAGCAATAAATCAAAGCACTGGAGCTAATTAAATTAGCTGACCATTGTCCAGGGAGTGAAATCCCTGAGACTCCTTTATAGGGGATCATTATTACCATTCTGGGTGAGTTTCTGATCCTCTTATGTTGTACCTAGACAGTGAACAATTTTATCTGATTAAAAAAAATAAAATAAAATAAAATTCCCCCACACCAGTCAGCCACCATGACTCCAAGATAAGGCTCCTATCTGCAGTCTTGGATTGGGGGAATTAGTTATAAATTCCTTACATCTAGATGAACTTCTGTGTCCTGTTTACCTAGGACAGAAAACTATAGACTCCTTCAACCCAAAAGAGCCCATGATTATCCACCTCTAGTTTCTATCTGATTATTAAATTTCATTCCTGCTCTTACAAACCCAAGTCTGGATATGTCTGAACTGGTTAGATGCCACACACCTCAAGGTCATGTGTTCTTTCGCAGTACTGATTAACCTTCTATATGGGCTCAATACACAAAGAAAGACTTTCGAAATTTATGATTGGAGAATCAACTTCCAAACACACTGTGAATAAAAGTTGGGCCAAACCTATTAGTTTAAAACATAAATCAATGCAGCTTCAGAATTCCAGAAAGAACTTACCATGATCCCTTGAGGTCGCAAATCAATAGCACATAATGGATTCAAGTACCTGTGCCTCATTACCAGGTATTCCCTGGGTCAGGAAGTTCTGCAGTGGATCCCACTAGCTGCTGAAAATGTAGAAGAAAGGAAAATCTGGCAAGAGAAAAAAGGGGACTGCTTTATGTTGTTGGTTGCTTTCTACTCTACTGTTTGGAGGTCCACTACCCAGCTCCCAAATAAATCACACACAGAGACGTATTCTTATTTATACATTTCCTGCCTTAGCTTGGCTTCTTTCTAGCCAGCTTTTCTTAACTTAAATTACCCTATCTTTTGCCTCTGTGCTTTTTTTTTTTTTTTTTGGTTTTTACGAGACAGGGTTTCTCTGTATTGTTTTTGAGGCTGTCGGTCCAGCCCAGCCTCGAACTCACAGAGATCCGCCTGCCTCTGCCTCCCGAGTGCTGGGATTAAAGGCGTGCACCACCACGGCCCGGCTGCCTCTGTGCTTTTATCTTTCTCTGTTTCTGTATACCAGGTAGCAAGATATGCCAGGGTTTCTGAGAGCAGAGGAATTGAGGAGAAAAAAATACATTGGCTAATTGGTCATGGTAGTTCCCGTGCTTAACCTGGGCTCAGCTACTGTACTCAGTCGCATGTTGGTTTGGTCTCATGGGGTTTGTTGCAGGGGTCTGGTCTATATCAATTGACTTCCGTGAGTTTTATTTTCTACTGGTCTGTTTTTTACTTCTTATTTTCTTGGTGTCATATTTAAGAAAATGTTGCCTAACAAAGACACAAAGATTTATACCAATATTTTCTGTGAAGAGTTTTATCATTTTAACTCTTACACATTGGTCCATTGGTATAAAGTTTTGGATACTAGTATGAGGAGGGTTATTAATTATGTTTCTATTGCTATTTGAAAAAGGAACATGACCAAGGCAAGTTATTGATAGACTGATTTAATTGTACTTAAATTTCTCAGAGATAAGAGTTCACTATAACAGCAGGAAAGTGTGACAGCAGACAGGCAGACATGGTGCTGGAGCTGGAAGCTCAGAGCTCAGAGCTCAGAGCTCACATCTTTTTTTTTTTTTTTTGGTTTTTTTTTTTTCGAGACAGGGTTTCTTTGTATTGTTTTGGAGGCTGTTGGTCCAGCCCGGCCTTGAACTCACAGAGATCCACTTGCCTCTGCCTCCCGAGTGCTGGCATTAAAGGCGTGTGCCACCACTGCCTGGCCAGAGCTCACATCTTAAACCACAAGCAGGAAGCACAGAAAATGAACTGGGAGTGGTGTGTGGCTTTAAAAACTTTGAACCACCCCCAATGATGTACTTCTTCCTCAAGGCCATGCTTCCTAACACTAGCTAAGCAATGCAACCAACTGGAGACCAAGTATTCATAGACTAAAGACTATGGGGGACATCTGATTTAAATCACCAGAATGGGTGACCTCATTTATTCTTCTGCTTGTAGCTGTCATTTTTTTAGACAATCATTTATTAAATTTCCTCATTGAAATCGTCTTGGCACACTCATGCCTTGAATCTAAGTTCAGGATTTCTAGCCTTTGATTCTATTTCATTGGCCTACATGTCCCCTACTCTGATACCACACTGGCTTGGCTACTGTAGTTTTGTAGGTTTCAAGTTGTAATGTATCAGTCTTCTCGGTTTTTCTTTTTCAATATTCTTTTAAAAACTATTCTGGGTAAGGTGACAGGATCAGTTGCTAAATTTCTGCAGATAAGGTAGGATTATTTTGGAGATGGCATTGAACCAGTATGTCAGATTAGAGTGTATTGCCATCTTAATATCCTTACTAATTGACCCACCAACAAGGTATGTGTTTTTGTTTATTTGGGTCTTCATTAACTTCTCTTAGTAACATCATTTTAAAAGCTATATTAGCATGTTGTTAAGGAAGTGCCTCATGCAGGAGCCAACGTATCCTGGAATTCACGGTGTAGTGTAGATTAACCTCAAAATTTGTGGCAATCCTCTTGTCTCAGGCTTGCAAGTGCTGGAATTAGAGGTATTAGCTCCACACCAAACTATTTTGCAATTTTTGTCAATTTTATCTTTTTTATTTATATTTTTATTTAGAAACAATCTTATTTTTCATATCAATCACCCCCATTCCCTCTCCTTCCCAGAGATCCTGACCCACTTGGCAAAGACCTGTGGACAGTCTGCTGTGTAATCCTGGGCATGACCCCCAGAGTATATGTGCTACCTGCTCTCCTTGCTTTCACCATGCCTGCCATACTGCTGGCTTAAATGAGTCACAGTGGGTCATAAGGTCTAATATTACATATTTGCATAACTATTCTGGAAAGAATGATTTTAATCACATGAGTCTTGAGAAATGTTATTAAATAGATGATATCAAGAGTTAATGAGAACAGTATAGGAACAGGGAATGAAGCAGAACCATAGAAATCCATAGTTCCCTCATTTCTAATAGCTGTGCCAATACCCTAAGAGATAGACACAAGAATAAGGGATAAACACTGCCAACTGTTAAGGGTAAGTTTCCAAGTTATGTTGCTATAGGATAATAGGAAAACTTGGCTCATCCCCAGAGGCGATAAAATAGTACAGAATGTAGAATGGATTGATCCAGCTTTGGCTTGTAAGTTGATTGTGAGAACCCAGACTCTGTCAGATGTAAATATTAACCACAAGAGACAAAACTGTCTCTCACCCTGCATGGTGCTGTAACAGCATATGCTGCCAATAGGGCCCACTGTTCTACCTGTAGGTGTATCTATTTATAAAACTTCCTTTGTACCTTGGAAGACTGCTTATACTTCTAACAATAGAGATACGGATCAAAAAGGTAATGGCTACCAGGGGGAAAGTTAGGGGACAAAGGGGAAAAGAAGCAAGGAACAAAATGGTAATTATTGTAATCATTTTTAGAAACATGGGGAGTAAAAACTGATTGGAAAACTATTCAGGAAAACCATTGAAACTGTATAAATAAAAACAGTCCAGACCACCCAGGGCCACTTGTTTGAACAACAACAAGTGGTCACAATTTCTTCATGGCATCAACTTCACACATCCATCCCAGGTCATTGAACCCATCTGGAGCAAGGCACACCACGACCATGGTAACTCTTACAAAGGAGAATATTTAATAGGGACTAGCTTACAATTTGAGGTTTAGTCCATTATCATCAAGGTGAAAAGCATGGCAGGATGCAAGAGGACATAGTGCTGGAGAAGGAGTTGAGTGTTCCACATTCAGATCAACAGGCAGCAGGAAAAGAGCAAGACACTGGGCCTAAGTTGAGCACCTGAAACCTCAAAACACACTCCCAATGAAACCCTTCCGCCAACAAGGCCACACCTACTAATAGTGTCCCTCCCTATGGGCCTACGAGAGCCATTTTATTCAAGCCACCACATCCTTCGGCTTTCTGTATTCTTATATGAAAGTGAAGATTCTTTTCAATTTCTATGAAAAATTGTGTTGGATTTTTTATGAGAATTGAATTGAATCTGTAGATTGTTTTGGGTTGGATGGTCATTTTCACAATATTGATCCCACCAATCCTACCAAGGGAAGGAGCTATTTCCATCTTCTGGAGTATTCTTCAATTTATTTCTTTAGTGTCTTGAAGTTTTTATTATACAAGTCATCTACTTGATTGGCTAGTGTTATCTCAAGATATTTTATTTTTTGAGCCTATTGTGAAAGGTAGTTTCCCTAATTTTTTCTAAATGTTTGTCAGTCAACAAAAGAGATCCCAGCAAACTTCTGATATTACTTGATGTAAAAAGAAGAAATGAAATCTAGAATTTTATAGTAAACTAGTGATCTTCAAACATCTGCAGAATTTTTTATGGGAAAGGCTATTTTTATGGGTATGAATATTTTACCTACATGCATATCTATGGATCACTTGTGTACCTGATGCTTGGTCAGTCCTGAGTGGGCATCTGATCCCCAAGATTTGGAGCTACAGAGTGTTTTGAGTCACAATGTGGATTCTGAGAATTGAACTCAAGTCTTCTGGAAGAGCAACTAGCGCTGTTAAACTCTCAGCCACTGCTCCAACCCCTGGAAATGATATTTCAATGGCCATAGTGACTTTAAAATAACTAAACTATTAAAACTAGTACTTAAATTAATCATTAGTTAATTTCTCAGTCTTGGTTTTACATAGAGACAAAAACTGACTTGTTCTCAATGCTGATAATAAAGTATGTTCTAATCACCTTTTTATTTTTCTCAGAGAAACTCTTCTTGAAAGCCACCTGCTATTACTTGGTTCAGATGTTTGGATCAGACATCATAAAACTGTGAGTACGGCATAGGAATCTGACTCAGTTGCTGGCTCATCTTTCTGCTTACTGTACTTAGTGGAGAAGGGGTGGTCCTGCTCTCCCTGTCACTATTAGCAGAAGGCAACTGACACCACAGTTGATGCTGTCACTCCGGTAGAGGCTCTCTAGAAGTACAGTGTGAAAATCTGGCTCATTTTTTCCCCAACCAACTTCCATTCAAAATACCTGGTACCTACTCTCTCCCAGTGGCTTCCAGCCCTCTGTCCTCCGGGTTTCCTAGCCTATTACCTCCTAGCCCCTCTGGCATCATGACCTGCTTGTTTTCTTTCTCATTCTTTTCCTTGTGTGTTAAGCATACTTTGCAGCACTGGATAAGATGAGCCATGTTCGTGTTCATGGCAGTCTCTCAATAAGGATCCATGTTACCCAACTTGAGGTTACAGTCTATACCCCAGGAAGCCAGGTGCAGTCATGAGTCCTGGCCATCTATCCTCAAGAATCCAATTAAAACAGTCAAATTAATAGTAAAGAGTAGAAAGGGAAGGTTTGTTCAGTGTGACCACATTGGGGAGAGGGAAAAGAAATGCAGTGATGCGCTCCATCCAGCTCATCATTTGTTCTAAAATGAAGCTAATGTTTAAATAGAGGACCAGTGATATGAACATCTAAGCTGGTCAAGGTATGGCCCAGTCATTGTCTGAGCTTCATTCTCATCCTGCAAAGCATTTTACAAGTGGTAAGAACTGTGGAAATCTCTGTTTCAGGAAACAAGGTTCCCCTCTGACTAGAGCTAGGCTTCCAGTCTTTTCCTTCTCCCAGCATGACAGTTCCATTGTTGGGATCCAGATTTAATAGTCTGTTAGATTGAAAGACACAAGTGTCTTTTTAGAATAGCTTAATTCTTATATTCACACCTGATTGTCTTATGTTTGTTTAATTATACAAGCGCCCAGATACAGGCCCACAAACAAACTCTAGGACCATGATGATCAATTGATTCTAACCTTATATTCTCTCCCTTTTATCTTGCACACTCTCATGAACATCCTAGGTTCTGTGTTCATCCTTCTCTCCATGTATTTTTACTACTGATATATATATATATATATAATACATATGCTATATGTCAGTAGTAAAAATACATGGAGAAGGATGTTATATGTATTATATATATATATATATTATAATTATATGCCAGCAAGATGGCCTAGCAGGTTAAGGTAGTTACCACATAAGCCAGACCACCCAAGTTTCTAGAACCCATGTAAAGGTTGAAGGAGCTAATTCTACAAAGTAGTCTTTTCACCTCCACACCTGTGACTTGACACACACCCCTACATGTATGTAATGCACACACACATAATAATGATAGCTATATGTATATATATACATATATATATAGTATTGATCATGTGTGGTATTTTAAAGTATATATTTTCAGTTCTTAACACAGTGTCACATTTTATATATCATTTCAAACGTGACACTTAAGTATGAATGTCTGAAACCACCCATATAACTTTGTCATCACTGTAGCACATTGGCTCTAACTGTGTGATACTGAATTGTATCTCTAGGGTATTGTTCATGTACTCTGCCACTAATGGCCGTGCAGGTTGTTCTCTGGATTCCTCATTGTATACAGTGCACTTATGAATATTCCTATAATGAATGAGTGGTAGGGTGTATAATGGTGAAACTTAAAAGACATTGTCACCCTCCAAAATAGTGTAGACTAGAGCCAGAAATGTTTAAAGACAGAAGTTTAAAATTATACAGACCTTGGAGATCTGTGCTGCTCCTGTGCGCCTGTCTCTATTAATACAGAGCTTATCTGTAACAGAAATAGTTTAGTCTGGATATTGGTTATGATGGGTTCCATGAATTTTACCCCAAACCCCAATTATAGTTATGGACTATGAACTGAAGTCAGACCCATGGTCTTGCAAATTTTCCTTAAAATCAAAATCTACCAATGCAGAAAAATAATATCTTTGAATATAAACCCAACTACAGCATTCCCTTACATAACATTCTTCAAAATCTACATTTCTTTCTCTGAACTCCTGGCCCCATACACAAAACTCTCCATGAGCTGGTCCTGATGGACCTTCCAAACTCATCCCTTTCTACTTCTTAGCATACCACATTTCACATACTACAGGCAGGGTTTGCCTAAAGTCTTTTACAGTTGTTTCCTGTGTTTGATACATCTAAAACCTATGTCCAGACACCTCACCCAACTTCTTTGGAGCTCATATCTATGTCACCTCCTTTAGAAGCTTCCCTTATCCTCTCCAAGCTAATATGGACATTTCACTTCTACCATATCCAAGCAAAATGGCATGTTTGCGCACACACAACAGTTATGTGGTGCAAAACTCTGGAATAGCACTTAGGACATGTATTTACAGTTTAATTACCAATCTACTGTTCTGAGTCCCTGCTAAGTTGACAGCTTTCAAAAGACTAGGACTATATTTTATTCATGTATTTCCATGTACTCAGCAAAATCCTGACTGTGTGTTAAAGGAAGAATGATAGAAAAGGGGTGTGGAAAGGGAAGAAGTGAAGCTGGATGGAAGATAGACTGCTTTGGAGGAAGATAGATGCAATGAGTGGTTCTGTCCACCATTTGTTTATCTATAAAGGTCTAGCACCCTGTTAGTGACAGCACCAGCACCCTGTCAGCACTAGGACACTGTCAGCTCCAGTGCCCTATCGGTGCCAGCATCCTTTCAGTGCCAGCACCCTGTCAGACCAGCATTCCTTAAATGCCCGTACCCTGTCAAGACCAGTGCCCCATCAGGACCAGCACTCCAACATTAGCTCTATGCTGGTGGGGATCTCTCCTTACATGTGTTCTTCTCTTGCAGATTGTTTTAAACAGTTGGAAGCAGCTTGAGGTTGATTCAAGTCCTGAAAATGACAACCTCATGATTTAATTTTACCTGAATATCTGCCTTCCAATATGAAATGGATTTTCTGACCTGTAGGCCATTTCTCCTATTATCTCATACCCATCAGTTATCAATAATTCATGGACTAATTATGTAGCAATTGCATTTCCTAGCCACAGTCATTGCCATAAGATTCTGTAAAGAAAGAGAACATGATAAATAAGACATTCCCTCCAAAACTTGCCATGTAGTGTCTTGATCTGTTTGACCTATTCTAACAAAATACCTGATGCTGGAAAATTTAGAAAAAAAACAGAAATTTACCCATCATGAATCTGAAGACTTGGAGTACAAGACCAAGGTGTCAACAGATTAGATACCTGAAGGATTCACTCTTTGCTTCATACACACTACATCCTTTTGGCAAACTCATGAGGCTGAATTAGCAAACAAGTTTCTTAGGCCTCCTTTCTAAAAGAACATGGCTCTCATATACAAACAGAGACCCCCCACAAATGCCTATAAGTTTTGGGGGAAGAAATATTAAGGCCATCTAGATACCTATAAGAGGTTATCTATGTAGAAATCCATCCTAGCCAATACTCAGGTGAAAAGTTCCCTATCTGGTCCTGACCTTCACTGCTCTCAATGTTGCTTCAGAAAAGCTCTGAGTCCTCTAAGCATCATATTTCTTCCTAGTACTTAACTGTTGCTTCCCTGTGTACCAAGTCTAGTAGCTCTCAAATATCAGGAAAGAACAATATTTTCATAAGAAAACTAAATAGCAGAACTTACAACAATTATCATATGACTTAAATTTAATGATTTTTATTGACATTAAAAATACAAACACTTTAAATGTGTTCTTCACAAAATAATTACAGAATTGATTAGACTCAAACCAGGTATAGTGGCTCACACCTATAGTCCTAGTTCCTATAGGGAAAGATAGGGTCTTCCTCTGTGAGTTCAAGTCCAGCCTGATCTACATATCAAGTTCCAGGTCAGCCAGGATTACACAGTGAGAACCTGTTTGATGGGAAGGAAAAAAAGGAAGGAAGGGAGGGAGGGAGGAAGGAAGGAAGGAAGGAAGGAAGGAAGGAAGAAAGAAAGAAAGAAAGAAAGAAAGAAAGAAAGAAAGAAAGAAAGAAAGAAAGAAAGGGAAACCGAAGTGGGGGGCAAGGAGGAACAATTTTCCCCAGAGACCATGATCATGAAGGTGATTTTCCCAGGGCAAAGCTCACCAACTGGAACGTAAATGTGCTTAACCCTGTGATTTGCTTAAATGTGGGAAATCCAATTGCATGATTTGTGAATATGGAGGATTATGTCTACATCTTCTCTGTTACAAAAATATATAAATACATTTTTAAACTTGAAAAATCAAAAGTTCACAGAGATAGAGACTCATAAAAGAGTGAATTAACTCTTTGAAATGAGGTAGGCTTCCTCCCAACTCCACTTGTCCTTCAGTAGTTCAGTTCGAGCCCTCTTTGAAGGAGCTCTGTACCCAGACATCATACCTCACCTCTGGCTCTTGTATTCCTTTGGCCTCCTCTTCTGCATAGGCCCTTGAGACCTGAAGGGAGGGTTTGATAAAGACATTCCATTTAAGACTAAGTTCTCCAAGGCCTCTCTTTGTCTTCACATGTCTGCTTGTGTGGGTCTATGTTAACTCCCATCTACTTCAAGAAGCTTCTTTCATTAGGATTGAGTGATGCAGTGACCCAATAATTTAAAAAATTTAGTAATAACAACCTTTCATGTAAATATCCTTAACACATGAATTGTAGACTGTCTGATTCCAACTAATATTTTCTCCATGAAATTCAGAAAACTAGGAAGTATGTCCACAAATTGAGAATTAAAGGTTGGAAAACAACCTACCAAACAAATAGAAGCTGAATCTAAACTGATTTGATTCTCCTGTCTGAAAATGTATATTGCAAACCAAAACTAGTCAAAAGACGTCAAGATGTCCACTGCATACTAATTAAAGGAACAATTTATAGAGGTAGTATAATTACTATAAATATGTGTGCACCAATTCATGGAGGCCCTGGCTTTTTAAATGAACACTAAAAGGCATAAAAGGCCCTATGTCCTAACACAATAATGCTTGAAGACTGTAAATACCTCACTTTCATATCTAGATATGAGTTTCCAAAATTAAAAATCAGAAAAGAATTTTCAGAACAAATGTATACCAAAGATCAACAACATTTAATAGATATCTACAGAAAATTCCATGCAATAAGTAGGGAATGCATATCCTTCTCAGAGACAATAGAAAACTCTCTAAAGTTGCCCACAATAGAATCCACAAAGCAAGCCTTATGCTATACAAAATAATTGAAATAATTTCCTGCATCTTACAAAGACTAGAAAGCAATAGCAATGCTAATCTCAGACAATACATAATTACCTTAATACTGAGCAATGTAGTTTCAAATGAACAGTATGACATGGAAGAAAATCATGGAGTAATTTTTTAAAATTCCTAAATCAAATGGAAAAGAGAGTACAGTCTACCACAATCTCTAGGATACAGACAAGGTAACCTAAAAAGAAAGTTTGTGTTTCCAAATGCTTATATTTCTTAAAAATCAGAGAGATCCCCGAAAATGATCTAATGATTATATAGAAAATTAATATATAGAAAAACACACATATGCATGCACACATACCCTGGGAGAAATTTGAAAAAGAAACTAAAAGAACAAACAGCATTATTCAGTTGGTTCTTTGAAAATATTGAGATTGCCAAATCTGTGGCCAAATTAAGCAAAAGATAGAGAAAGAACAACCAAATTAACACAATGAGTGACAAACAACAGATCCCAAGGAAGTCTGGAATATCATTAGAGATATTTGATGATTTACATTTCAAGATGTTGAAAACTCTAAAAGCAATTGTTAATTTTTCTAAATGCATATTACCTACCAAATTTAAAGCCTGCAGACACAGTTTAAACAGACCCATAGCAAGATTTTGGCAGCTATTGTAATTCTCCTCCAAAAGAAATTCTAGAACTAGACAGATTCATGTTGAATTCTATCAAACCTTTAAGGAAGATCTAAAGCAAACACTTCTCAAATATCATCTGTACTTCAATGGAGTTCAATAGACTCAGCCTTCAAGTCTCATTACCTGTGGCAATTTCAACCTCTCACTTAGATCAGCCTCTTTGATCAATGCCTGCAGATTTCCTCAACAAATCTCACGCATACCATGTTGGTTTTGCCCATATTCTGTAGACTCCATTGCATCTAAGGCCTTAACCTCCACCACTTCACACACAACCTACTCATGAATCCATGTGGGTGATCTGGCCCATTGTCTGACCTTGGTCCCATTCTAAGGTATTGGTGCAAGCTCTTATGACTCCTTAGCTCTTATGTTGTCCATGTGAACAATGCCAAGTTCTGTTGCCAATTTAAAATGTAGTCTAGGTCCCCTTGCATCCCAGATGCGGCAGCTTCTAAGTAGATGACTGAACCTAGAGAAATACTTCCCTAACCTGCTCTTTTTTTCTGGGATGGAACCTGAAGTCTCTGTGTTTTCAGATGCCTTCATTTTAAATGAATTTGCACTGCTACACCCTGAAGCTTTTAATAAATGGGATTCTGAACCCTTTCCTGCTGTCACTATGAAACTCACAGCTTATTTTTTGTAGTGCTAGTCTAACAATTAAACATAATTTGTTCATAACCACCTTGTCTTCAACCATAAACTTTTTCATATTCCTCTGTTCACCAACCTGGATATTTTTCATGGCATTCTGCTTTGAATTCTAAATCTCACTAAATGTAGACAGCAATAATCATGCCACAGCCTGAATGAAATAATACAATTTCCTCCATCAAGCAATATATTTCATTACTTTTTAATTCAGCTCCACTCAGAGTTTTAGGGGATGGACAAAATGCAGCCAGATTATTTGCTAGAATATACTATAAATGACCTTTAGTCTACTTTCAGGTAGTACATATTCCTCTTTGAAATTTTATAAATACACTCCTTTCTGACTCACTGATATTGCATTTCAATACTCACTCGATGCATTTCTATATACATTATTGTCATCTGAACTCTTTTAAGAATTACCCATTACTGTCTGTTAGCTCTAGCCCACAGCTCTAATCTCTTCTACATTTCTCCTGTAAACAAGTTTAGAAGGCCCATGAACTACACCATCAGGAAGTCACAGTAACGAATTCACTTCTCAGTAACAATTTTCAGTGTTAGCCACTTTTCTCATTGCTCTAACCAAATACCTGGCAAGAAGAAACTGATGGGAGAAGGAAACGTTTGGGTTCATTATTTGAAGGGACACAGTTTATCACTGTGGTGAAAACATAAGTCAAGGTTAGCTGCATTGTCAATTAAGAATCACACACACACATACATACACACACACACACACACACACACACACACACACACACACACACACGGGGATATTAGTGCTCAGAAAACTTCCTCCTTTTCCCTCTCTCATTACTTCTGGACCACTAGCCCATCAGATAGTACCACTCATGCCCAGCCTCACAAGAAGGCATGTCTCCTAGATCATGTTAAAATAGCAAACTTGATAGTGAAGATGAACCATCACACTTTGTTTTAGCTCCTTTCAATCTAGACACAACTACAATATTTGAAGACCGCTGTCTTTATAGATTTCTCTATAAAAGAAACAAATCAACGACAATGTTTTTCTTCCACAAGAATAAGAGATATGTTTAATTTACAAGGTAACAGGTGATTTGGATTATGTCTAAGAAAATTATTTTAGTGTGTACAACTATATAATGTCATTTTATTCTGTTAGGTCCAATAAACATCAAAATATTAATCCCATCTAATCAGATCCTTTCTCTTTTCTTTTCCCAATTGTTTATGCGGCTTCTCTTGAAAATAATCCAGTGTTTTACTGAGAGGCTAACTCATAGCTCAGGAATTATGTGCCCCATCCTGTTTTCAGGACCTTAGGCAAGAGGCAGGAGAGATGGGTATTGCAGGAAAACACAATCCAGTAGCTGTGCTGTGTGAAACTCTAGGCTGGGTTGTGAGGGCATCAGAATCCATTCCAGGGATTTAACTCCCTTTGATAGCACTTCTTCTTCCTAATGCCTGAGAGATCTTAATAGCTTTTGCTTTGCTCCATTTCCCACCAGACTTGGTGAAGCTATGAATGCTGATGTAGTGTGCCATGCTCTGGAATTTTGTAAGCAGGATGGGATCCAATCACAGTGTCATCTCTACCCTCTTCCCCAGGTGAGTGGGTTCTGCTCTGAATGTCACTTTCCAATACCCTTTAGGCCCTCTAGAAATGTTATAAAGAGAGACTTAGCTTCATTTGCTCAGTAGTTTGTGGACTGGAAACTAAAGAGTCAAGGCAATAGTCATCATACAAAGGAAAATGTGCTGTATTTGCTTTCTGAGCCTCAGTATAAGTTCTGACTGGAATGAGATGGAATCTTAAGGTAGTTTTAGTCTGCAGTTTCCTGGTGGCAAAGGGTATTGAATACTTTTTAGAATGTTTCCCAAGACTTGTAATTTCTTTTGAAAACTATGTAGTTCCACATCCTTTTAAAATTGACTTTCTTTCTTAGAGTTGTTTTTCTTCTAGTATATTGTAGTTACTAATCCTCTATTGTATGTATAAGTGACAAACAGCTTCTTCTGTGAGATGCATCTTCACTAACAGTGCTCTTTGTTTACACTGAAAAATTTGATTCATTTGCAGTTAAGGTTTCACAGGGTGAGATATAGGGACCAAGTTTTATTCTTCTAAATGCTGATGCCCAGATACTCTAATCTGTATTCTCTGGGGTATATTTTTAGATTGTCAAAAATCAGGCAACCATGGCCGGGCGGTGGTGGTGCACGCCTTTAATCCCAGCACTCGGGAGGCAGAGGCAGGTGGATCTCTGTGAGTTCGAGGCCGGGCTGGACTAATAGCCTCCAAAACAATACAGAGAAACCCTGTCTCGTAAACCCCCCCCAAAAAAATCAGGCAACCATTGTTGTGTAAACTTATTTCTGGGTACACTATCCTATACCATTGGTCTACATGTCTATTTTTGTGCCAGTGTAACCCTGTTTTCATTACTATGGCTCTGTAGGGTCATTTAAAATTAGATATGATGACACCCACCAGTGTTCTTTTGTTCAGATATCCTTGGTCTTCTGTGTCTCTATATAAAACTTATGATTATCTGTGAATATTGTCCCTGGGATCTTGATTGAGATTACATGGAACCTATATATTATCTTTGATAGGAGAGCCATTTTCCTAGTATTGATTCTTCGGTCCATGACCATGTGGGGAGCGGGAAATGTCTTATCATCTTCTAGTATCTTCTTCCATTTCTTTCTTCAGTGTCTTGAAGTTTTAATTATAAAAGTCTATAATTTCCTTGGCTAGCTTTATTCCCAGATATTTTATTTTTACCATGTGGTTGCTAAGGATGGGATTATTTTACTGGTTTCTTTTTCATTATGTTGCCCTTGCTACACATGAAGGCTATTGATATTTATATATTAATTTTGTATCCCACCCCTTTGCCAAAAGTGCTTATCAGATGATTTCTTCAATTACTCCATGTAAAATAATTTTATCTTGCTTCATCCTTGATCTCCCCTCCCATCCAAAGAATATCTAGATTTTTCTGCTATTAACCATAATCCCAAAGTGGACTGGTAGTAGATAGGAGAATCAAAGAAATAGAGAAATCAGAGATTTTAATCTACCTTAACCATCAAAAAGCCAATTGAGTTACTCTTACAGGACAACCAACTCATCTTAGAATGTCCAAAACATTCCAGGGATCAGCACTAAACATTCCTATCCTAAGAAAACCCATTTAGCTGGTTGCTGTTTTCTGAGCTTGACTGTCCTTACCCATAAGAAGACTATAATAAAATATCACCTTCCCAAAGCTTCCTAAGTAAAGCAAGCAAATATGTATACAATGATTAGCAAATACTTACAATATACCTATAATGCATCAAGTATAGCTAAAATGACATCTAAAAACACTATTGTCAGTATTGTGATTTTTTAGATGGTTTTTATGAATCTCCTGTATCATAACATTTTGGGCAACTTATTTGGATTGTGGTCAGAAAAGGCTGTAAATGTTGACCTAACTCTGTCTATACACTGTAAATGAGAATGCAGTATTAAACTAATTAAGGCTCACATTATTGACTTTCATAAACTTCCTATTCAAATAACTCCATATCCCTTTCCCTGGAATTATGATTTTTCTGCATTAATAATGGGTTTGTGTATTAAAATATTTTATCTATGTTTAAATGAAGTCAGCTGTAAAACTTTGTGGCTTAACCAAGGCACATGATTTTTATGACTAAAAATATTAAAAATCAGGGATTGGGAGATGGCTTAGTTGGTAAGGCCCTTATCACACAAGAATGAGGACATGAGTTTCCACCACCAGAATCCATGTACAAACCAGCCATGATAGTCCACATTTGTTATCCTAGCTCCTGGGAGGCAGAGACAAGGGAATCTCTGGAGTTTGCTGCTCAGCTAGCCTCACCTAGCCAATAACTTCCATGCCAGTGATAAACTGTTGTTTTTCTTGCTGTGATAAAGACCAAAAGAAACTTGGGAAGGAATGGGTTCATTTTATCTTGCAGTGTGTAGTCCGACATCCAGGAGTGTCAGGGCAGAAACTCAAGGCAGTGATCTAGAGGTGAGTGCTGAAGCAGACACTATAGAGGAATGCTGCTTACTGGGTTTCTCCCCATCTGCCCCAGGGTGGTGCTGCCCACAATGGTATCAGCTCTTCCACATTAATAATCAGTCAGGATAATACAATAGATGCTCAGGAGGCCACTCCTATACAATTAAAATTCCTTCTTTCAAAACGACCTCACTTTGTATCAAATTGACAGAAAATCCATCCACACAAAGACCTTGTCTCAAAACACACAACGTGGACTGCATATGAGGAGCAAAACCTAAACTTGACCTCTGCTCACCCCACCCCTAACACACACAGATGGAGAGGGGAAAGGAGGGAGGGAGGGAGAGAGAAATAGAGGAAGAGAGATGGAGAAATGCACACATACAAGATATTAAATATCACAAACCTGTCTCTGTGAGCAGGAAAAATGAAAACAAGTGCCCAGGGTACATATTGATTGCTTTTTCAGTAACTGACTGTCAATGAAATTTCCTTAATTCCTTCCAAGAAGCTGTAGATTCCACTGATTTCTAGAAAAGCTCATTTTAAATGAAAACATTCCAGTGATCAAATAGCATGTGAATATTGTCTCATCATAATCATTATTTAATATTGGAAGGAGGAAGTGTGTCTCTGTGTAGGAAAGCAAACCTATTAGTCAGCTCATCATCATTATGACAAAATGCCCTAGAGAGACAATTTAAACTTAGGAAAGGCTTGCTTGGGCATATTGTTCAAATGTTTCAATCCATGATCACTTGGCTCTGTTCATGGGCTTGTGGTGGGGCAAGACATCAAGATGTAAGGATTGGGGAAGCAACTCACTTAAAGGTGACATATAGCAGACAGAGAAGGGGCCAGGAGGAAGGTTTACTCCTCAAAAGACTCACTTCCTTCAACTAGAGCCTACCTCTTGGGTTTTCATCACCCCCAGTAGCACATAAAGTTATGAACTCATCAATAAATGGGCTCGTTGGTTGATGAGGTCACAGCCCTCATGGTTCAGTCACTTCCCCAAAGCTCTATCTCTGAACATTTTCTTGGGAAAAAAGCTTTCAATTGATGAGGCTTTGGGGACATTGATGATTTAAATCATCAGCAAATGATTTGGATTTTAGTGACATCCACAAGCACTCTGATATATTTGTATCATATCCACAGGTGTCCACACAATGCTCAACTTTGTCTGACCGTAAATAGCATCACTGATTTGGGCATATGGTCTGCAGGTAGTTTATACACCTGATTTCATTTCTTTATCTCCCCCATTTATCCTCCCTCTTTCACTTGTGCTGCTGGAATTTGAAGCTTGGGCCTTTCACATGCCAGCACTACCCCTTGCATTTCCAATGGCAATTTCAATAACCCTCTTTGGCTGGGAGGGAATGGAAGGATTTCATTTAGAAGTGTTCAGCTTCCACTCAGGGACATCCTAGGCTGCTGGTCAGCTTGAGCCCCTTCCTCTGCAGCTGCCTCAGCTACTTTCTTCACTTCCCCAAGACTGCTTCAGACCCTTTCCCTCTACCCTAAATGCCCATCACCAGTCTCTATCACTGCACATTATCCAGAAAAGTGAGGTGGTCCCTCCAGACTCAGGTTTCTCTGCTTGAACTTTCCTTCAATAACAGTAACTAGCATGTCCTTAGTGTTCACTCCAGACGCCGAGAGAAGAGGTTATGCGTCATCTTGTCTGGTTGTCCATGCAGTCCTAAGACACAGGCTCCAGTAGGACCTCTTGTTCATACTGAAGGGCTCAGTAAATTGCTGCAAGTCACTATTCCAGGAATAAGCAGCAATAGGATTGGCATCCATACCTCTCCCCTCAGAGATGTGGCTGCTGTCCCCACTACCCACCACCCAGTGGGTTTTTGAAGCTGTTGTGAGTGTTTCCAAAACAACTGACTGGAATCCTACCAATAGGAAGGGATATGGTTAAAATGTTCACTTCTTAATATTCATTTCTTTTTAAAATTTTTTATTTAAATTAGAAACAAGTTTGCTTCACAAGTCAATCCCAGCTCCCTCTCTCTCCCTTCCTCCCATGCCACCCACCAACCCCCAACCCCCCACCCAATCCCCACTACACTCCCCAGGAAGGGTGAGGCCTTCCATGGGATATCATCCAGAGCAGGACCTATACCCTCCCCCATGTGTCCATGTTGAGAGAGCATCCCTCCATGTGGAATGGGCTCCCAAAGTCCATTCGTATGCCAGGGATAAATATTGATCTACTACCCGAGGTCCCATAGATTGCCAAGGCCTCCTCACTGACACCTACTTTCAGGGGGTCTGGATCAGTCCCATGATGGCCTCTCAGCCATCAGTCTGGGGTCCATGAGCTCCCCTTTGTTCAAGTCAGCAGTTTCTGTGGGTTTCACCAGCCCTGTCTTGACCCCTTTGCTCATCACTACTCCCTCTCTACAACTGGGTTCCAGGAGTTCAGTTTACTGTTTAGCTGTCGATATCTGGTTCTGCTTTTGTAGCCACTGGATGAGGGCTCTAGGATGGCATACAAGGTAGTCATCAATCTATCACTGGGAGGGGGTTTTAAGGTAGCCT